GTTATGTCTTCAGCGGGAGGGGGTGAGCCAGGCCGGTCGACCTAGTGTTCTTCCTTCCTTCCTTCCTTCTTTAGGGGTTGCGAAGCGCTCCAGGCAGGTGCGCCTAGTAGACTTCTTTCACTTGTTAAGTGTTACGTTGGGAGGAACTACCTCCGTTATCGCTGGCCCTTAAGGCTCAACAACCAATAATAATAAGAGTAATTTTATGTTTATCGGCGGTGCCGGAATTCATATACGAGAGCGATGGCTCTGTCTTTATTGAAACTTTGAAATGAACTGAACTTAAAGCTAACATGAAAAGAGAATCATAGCGGCCACTCCAATGGGTAGTGCTTGCCGGCTATGCACGGGCTTCCGGCCAGACGCTGTGTCAGCAGTTTGGCCGGAGCGAACTCTCGGACAGTCGGTCATTGCCGTCGCCCGGTTGACTTAGTTAACTTGTACATCAAACGCTGATAAGGCAACGGGTTTGCTTGTGTGGGACAATTTACAACTATTATACCAACAAGCTGCTGTTTGCGATGACCGTATATGTGTAAATCAATCGCTGATAAGGCACCGGTATCATCAATACACAGCAGCTTAAAACAATAAAAGACGAAAAATGATAAATGGATGAAAAATTCGACATCTCAAAGCGCTGTGTGTGTCGATCGTGCGTGTGTCGGTGAGCACTTGGTGTGCGAGAGAGTACGAGTACGCTTTTTGGGTATTTCATCGGAAAAGTTATTTCATCGGAAAAGTTATTTCATCCCTATGCTAATATTGCATCAGCCTATAGCTTAATTGCGATTGGTTGTAGTTTTGCATTTCTGAAAACAACCGTTATGACGCGGCGACAACCTGGCGTCGCTTCGTTGTGACCAGAACTCTCTGCGTAAGAACAAAAAAAAAAATCACCGATTCGCCAATATCACATCAATCGCCGACAACGCAAAGGGACAATCCGCACACAGTGGTTTACAAGTTGTGTAAGTTTACAAGTTGAGTAAGTTGTGTGATTAACGACCGTATATGTGTACAACAATCGCAGTTAAGGCACCGGGATCGTTTTGATTTATCAATCTACATGAACGCAAATGCATTATTATGAAATACATAAATAAGTAAGTTGTGTGATTAACGACCGTATATGTGTACAACAATCGCTGTTAAGGCACCGGGATCGTTTTCATTACCAATTTACACAAGCGCTAATATATTATTAGGAAATACATAAAAATAAGAATACTTAAAACAAAATAAAAAAAAACACAAAAATGGAAGAATAAATTAAACATGCACAAATATCAAATATATTGAATATATACTGTTCCCTTTGGCAAAAATCAAGCAAACATGTATGTATGTATTTGTGTGACGCCGTTTGTGAAACTCTTGTTGCGTCGCTGTGCAGTGACTGCCGCCAAGAGCTGATGACGCGCCAGAGTGGCGGAGCGACACATGATGCCGCGTTGGCTTGTACACTGTTGAATTCTTTTTGCGCACCACGCACCACGAAATAGAACCATATTAGAGAAATAAAATCAATTAAATTAATCAAAGGAAAATGTTATACATTGTTATATAAAAAGAAAAATAATAATAATAAGAAAAAGAAGAGAAAACAACAAAACATTCCACGAACAACTTAACTTTTATTGTTGTCACATGTTCACTAACCTCTAAAAAATATATTTACTAAATCACATACATTACAGTTGAAGTCGATAAAACAACAACAAAGGTGGAGCAAACACAGTAGCACTATACGACGAATGGCATACAACTTACACTAAACACAGGGAAGCAAGGAAAAGAGGTAACTGCGTATCGGATACGTACTACAGGTTTTCTTTTACTTTATAATATACATACGGAATATACCGTATATAATATATATACCAATATATATATATATATATGTCGGGGGCAGGGGTATGTCGGTCGGCGGCAAGGGTATGTTATTCATGCTGACACTGTTATAGATTCTTGCAGTTACACAGTGAGTTCCGATCGGTTCGAATACCCAAGTTCAACTAACTCAGCATAAGCGCTCACGACATAAACTCACTCAAGTTGAGCGTATGCAGCCATCTCTGTCTTACTCAAGACTCTTGGTATCTTACCATCGGACCTCACTCAGCAGCAGAGCGTCTCTGCCCCTGCTGCCGTGCATTTGCTCAACATCAACGAGTGAAGCAGAAGCAGGGAATTCCCCGAATTCCCAAATTCCCCGAATTCCCAAATTACCAGAATGCTACATTAACTGGGAATCACACTACGACACGGCCTTCCTGACCTATCACACGTCCTCGTGTGTTTAGCTTTCAATATAAAAATCACTTATATAAATATCAAATCTTCTGTATTCATTACATTTCTTTAAACATAATCTTATTAATTAATTTAGTTATTCCTTTATAACATTATTCTCTTTTGTAAAATAAAACATTTCCTTTGACACATTTTAACAATTGTGTAATTCCTGTAACACATCTTACAATATAACATTAGTGTAGTTCCTTTAACACATTACAATAATCTTTAGTGTAGTTCCTTTAACACTTTCTAACATTTGTGTAGTTCCTTTAACACATTACAACAATCTTTAGTGTAGTTCCTTTAACACTTTGTAACATTTGTGTAGTTCCTTTAACACATTACAATAATCTTTAGTGTAGTTCCTTTAACACTTTCTAACATTTGTGTAGTTCCTTTAACACATTACAACAATCTTTAGTGTAGTTCCTTTAACACTTTCTAACATTTGTGTAGTTCCTTTAACACATTACAATAATCTTTAGTGTAGTTCCTTTAACACTTTCTAACATTTGTGTAGTTCCTTTAACACATTACAACAATCTTTAGTGTAGTTCCTTTAACACTTTTTTTTTTTTTTTTTTTTTATGATTCTCTTTCTTGATTGTCAGACGCATCTTCCATCGTGCCGTCCCTATCTTCGCGTATTAGATCATTATTCGGCAAAGCTCTTAAGAATTCATGGGAGTATTTGTAAGTTCGCTTACTTGTTAAGGACTTTAACAGATATCTATCTCCATCTAGTATTTTGACAATCTCAAACGGCCCTTTAAATTTAGGGTCAAGCTTAGTTTGATGACGCTCCTCATTCTTAATCAATACGTGATCGCCTAAACTATGTTTAATAATTTTCGCCTTATTACTATCAAACCTGCGCTTATCATATCGTGCGCCGTCTTCCATATTTTGTTTGGCTTGTTTTCTTAGATTTTCTCTGTCTATTTTGTCATCAACTTTTTTCATCTATTGGTAGTAAGCCAAAAGGTCTAGCTTCCTTACCAATTAACAATTCTAATGGGCTAAACTTAGTTACTCTATTCGCCGTACAATTCATTGCCAATTGCACCTCGGCCAACGCATCCTGCCACGATCTCTGACCGGTTTCCACAGCCGTCAACATACTTTTGAGTGTACTCATTACTCGCTCGACCTGACCATTGGCCCTACTCGCACCGGTGGCAATTAAATGCAAATTAATTTTTTGAGAGGAACAAAATTCACGAAAATCTGAACTTGCAAAACAACGACCTTGATCCGCTATAATTCGGGTAGGCAAGCCAAATAAGGAAACAACTGATCTTACGGCCTTAATACAACTTTCCGTATCTATTTTCAAAGTGTGGTAAAAGTAAACAAATTTTGTAAATGCGTCTATTAAGACAATAACGTATTCTTTTAAGTCATTTTTACCACTCAATTTTCCTGTTATGTCAATATGTACCGTGTGCCACGGTATATCTATTTTGGGAATAGAATGTAACTCTGCCTGCACTTTACCTACGGGTGGCTTCGATAGTTTGCAAGTGATACAGTTCTCTACGAACCGACGAACATATTTTGACATATTTTCAAACCAATAATAGCTATAAACCTTATCTAATGTCTTTTCCCATCCCAAATGCATTATTGATTCGTGGACATGATTGATAATTGCCCATCTAAATGACCTTGGAATTACCGGTAGACATTTAGTTTTGCCATTTCGCTGTATTTTCCTATGCAAAATACATTTTCGTAATTCATAGGTTTTATCTAAATTATCTGGTAATTCATTATTTCTTAATTTAGTTGATATATCTAAAATCTCACTATCTCGCTGTTGCTCCGAAATTAACCAGTTGTCGGTTACCTCAGTCAAATTTATTCGTTTCTCAGGTATTTTATTCTGACCACTATTTTCCTCAGGTATTTTATTTTGATCATTATTTTTCTCAGGCACTGGATTCCGAGATAGACAATCTACGTGCGCCATTCGTTCACCCTTTCTGTACTCTAAGTCAAAGTCAAACGATTGCAAAAATGCCCACCACCTATGTACCCTCGGCGTTAAGTCGAGTTTTGTGCGACTAGCCTTCAAAGAATTGCAGTCTGTATATACGACAAATTTACGTCCCTGCAAGTAATGGCGGAAATGTCGGATACCGTTAACTACCGCTAGCGTCTCTAATTCGTAAGAATGATATTTTGACTCGGCAGGAGACGTGCATTTACTAAAATACTCAACGACATGGGGTTTGTTGTCAATTTTGTGCAATAGTATAGCTCCATAGCCAATTGAACTGGCGTCAGTGTGCAACTCAATGGCGTATTGCGGGTCGAATATGATCAAAACGGGTGCCTGTGTCAACACAGATATGATTTTAGCTCGTATTTGCTCGTGGTCTTGTTGCCAAGAAAAAGTTGCAATTTTCTTTGACGTTAGGTGATACAAAGGCTTAAGCGTCTCCGAAAATTTTGGAACGAACTGTCTGAAATATGAAGCCAATCCAATAAATTGTCGTAACTGCGACACAGATTGTGGAGGCGGTAAATCAGTCAATGCTTTTATCTTACGTGCGTTTGGCCTAATTTCCCCGTTACTTATTTCGAACCCCAGATACTCTATACGAGTTTTAAGGAAGGAGCACTTAGTTACATTAAACGAAAATCCAGCATTACTTAATGTTTCGAGTACAGTATGCAACCGTTCCAACGCCTCTTCTTTGGTTTCGGCTATAACCAACACATCATCAATATAAACGATAGCATATGTGTGTGCTAGAGTTCCTAATGCTCTTATTATGGCCCTCTGGAACACAGAAGGTGCATGGTCAAAAACTCGTACTGCCCTTCTGGCGTTACAAACGCGGTTCGCTCTATTGAATTTTCATGTACTGGAATTTGATAGAAACCACTAGCCATATCTAAACACGAAAAATATTTGGCACCGCGAAGCCTGGCAATCTGGTCTGCGATAAGGGGCAACGGATACCTATCAGCAACGGTATTCTCATTTAATATCCTATTGTCCACACAAAGACGATCAGTGCCGTTTTTCTTCTTTACCAACATCATAGGGCTGGCGAAAGGTGAGCAACTTGGACGAATAATATTTGCTTTCAATAATTCATCAATTTTACAGCGCACATGGTTTTTTTCTTCCTCGCTTAGCCTGTAAGGACGTCGTTGCACTGTCTTTAGTGGATCTATTAAATTAATTTCTAACTGCCCTGTTGAGACTCGAGTTTTTGGAATACCGCTGATAAACCAATCAGAGTAACACTTTAGGATATTTGTTAAGGCCATTTTATCGGATTCGACTAAATCAATATCAGCATTTATAATATCTCTGTAATCAGTTACATTCAAAACATCTACCCTTTTTGTTTTATAAATTTGGAATTTATCGGCATCTATTGTTACTCCAAAGCCCTGGCTAAGGATTTCACGACCAACCAACACGTCGTATTTCAGATATTTATCCATAATTACGTGTAACAAAATTTCAAAGCAGTATTGTTCAATATTTATATTACATAATACTTGCTGAGTACTACAAATGGCATCATTACCTATACCGTTAAGTTTTACAATGTTATTTATTCTTTTTCCCTTAAATTTATCCACGGCGCATTCCTTCACTAAAGAGCATTCAGCACCCGAATCAAAGCAAAATGGAATAGACTCACCGGATGCCCTTATTATTCCAGATGGTGGAGCTACTGTGCAGATATCTACCCGCTTCTCATACGTTCGGCCTTTTGGACAAGCAGATGCAAAATGTCCTATTTCGTCACACTTAAAGCACTTAACACTTGAGCGATCCTTCGGTCCAGTCATGTTGCTGCCGCTGTAGATTTTGCCTTTGCTCTGGCCCTTCTCCAAGCGAGCACGACATTCGGCGTATTTATGGCCAGCCTTTCCACAATAATTGCATTTCATCGGTGTCGGAAACTTGAACTTCTTGCGCTCCGAGCCTGTTGAATCGTCGTCCATACTGCGCTTTTTGAAAGAGTGTGCGCGTAATTGTTGTTGTAGCTCATTGCGAGTTTTCACGTTGTTTGTAAAAACCCAGCGCGTCAACTTGTTGTCTATTTGCGCCATGTGAGCCAGAGTCACGGATACCGCTATTTCTTCCAAATCCTTGGTTTTCCATTTTGACATAAGTAGCGTCACAATACGGCTGCCGTATTCGGCGAAGCCCTCCTCCGGCTTTGGTCGACCATTCAGAACATTTAATAGCATGGCGGCAGGAGTCTCAATTCCAACAAAGCGTTGTATAAACAGCTCCTTGAACTGCTCCCAAGTGATGCCGGCAAAACAAATTTGGGAAAGCCACTGTGATGCGCAGCCTTCTAGTGCCTTGCTTAGGGCGATCACCAGGTTGCTACCCTCGAGCACGTTATCCGCCAAAATTAGATCAACTGTTGAACACCAAGAGGAAGCATCCGCTCCAGCGATGTCAGGATAGAATTTTGGAAGAGTCACATATGATGCTTTTCCATCGGCTGGCGGTGCCCTTGATGTCTGCATGTTTTTGATGATTTCCAGTAGGTTGCGGTTTTGTAGCTCCAACGCTGACAAATACGGATCGGTGGCATGTGCAGTAGGCAAAGCAGATCCCACTTCTGATGTCGGGGGCAGGGGTATGTCGGTCGGCGGCAAGGGTATGTTATTCATGCTGACACTGTTATAGATTCTTGCAGTTACACAGTGAGTTCCGATCGGTTCGAATACCCAAGTTCAACTGACTCAGCATAAGCGCTCACGACATAAACTCACTCAAGTTGAGCGTATGCAGCCATCTCTGTCTTACTCAAGACTCTTGGTATCTTACCATCGGACCTCACTCAGCAGCAGAGCGTCTCTGCCCCTGCTGCCGTGCATTTGCTCAACATCAACGAGTGAAGCAGAAGCAGGGAATTCCCCGAATTCCCAAATTACCAGAATGCTACATTAACTGGGAATCACACTACGACATATATATAAGTAGAGAAACCGTATATACATAAAATACATACAATTTTCTTGCACCCAAACATAGATACATATATGTACATGGTATCACATATTATAGTACACAATATTACCACATTAATATACAAACGAAGTTGAGTAGTAAACAAACACACAAAATTTATCCTATACTTATTCATCTAACAAAAAAAAAAAAAAAAAAAAAAAATACATATACATATACATATAATTAATATACATATATATAATTACTACTTTACATTACAATTACTACTTACATTATTACTATTCTATATACATTATATACGTATTATTTCATATTATTTCAATATAGCAAAAAAATTAAAAAAAAAATTAAAACACAGTTAGGGGCAGATTAGATCTAAGGAGCGAGGTCAGTTTATCTGAGATAAGGAAAGCGATAGAAACAAAAGCGAAAGACCAGCTAGTTCAATTCCAAAACAATATTCCCACCAACGATATGGATTCCGGTAACGCATCAGGGCCACTAAGTCCCACCCTTAGCAATTTATCGACTTCCACAAACACAAGCCTGAATCTACAACAGCTACTAGCCCTTGTTCATCAACTACCCACCTACGAAGGCCCACCTGACAACCTTGATAGATTTGTTAGTAGAGTAGAACAGCTACTTTTGTTAGCCAGATCAGTGGACCAAGCAACTTGCGGACAATACTTACTGGGAATCATCCGTGACAAAATTAAAGGTAGGGCGGACGAGGCGCTGAGTGTCTGCGATGTACTCCTCAGTTGGGATGACATCAAAGCAAGCCTCAAGAGACTATACTCTAGCAAAAAAACGGAAGAAATGCTTGCTACATAACCTTCCGGATGGACTCAGTATGGGAAAACTATAACTATTACACAGCCACTAAAATAAGAAGCGAATTAATGGCCCTGGCCAGACCCTAGTGGACACTCACTTACAGCCAAACGTGACCAGTATGACAGATTCTGCCTAAATACATTCTTAGTTGGATTAAAGGACCCACTTAGGTCAGCCATTAGGAACCAAAGACCAGAGACAATCGAGAAAGCGTACGAGTACGGACAGATCGAATTAAACTTCTCTAGAAACCTGAATAAACACCAAGAAAATCGACGACACGACAGCTCGACATACAGGAATCACCCATACGCGAAAGGTCAACCAACCAATAATGACTATAATAGACGCTACATATCAGGACAACAGAATTATAATAATGGCAACAACGGCCGCCATGTACCACGACATGATAACACCAACAACGACAATAATAGTCGCTTTACACAGCGACAACAAAATTTTAACAATGATAATAGACGCTTCACACGTGAATATAATTCCAATAACGATAGTAATGGTCGACACGATAGACAAACTCTGGGTAGGAACCCCTTCCACAATAACAACAAATCAGATCAGACCCTAAATCACCAAGACAAAAACAACCGTAATCCAAACGCTCCCCTATGTAACATCAACGATGATGCAAATTTTTCACTAGAAGCCTCGGGAAACCAGTCGGTTACATAAGCAAGAAGAGTCACGGATCTTCTTTGCCATTTGTTTTCCTATCACCAAACTCCATGGTGTCAAAACACCTCAAATTTTTAATAGACACTGGATCTACCTAATCATTCATAAAGCCAGCACTTATTAACGAAGACCGCATCAAAAAACTAACCTCCGATATAAATATCCACACTGTACTCAGTACATTCAAAATTCAAGAATATTCAGATGAAATAAATTTCAAACAGTTCAAACAAATTCCCAATTTTAAGTTCTTACTATTTAATTTCCACCCCACTTCAATGGTCTTCTACGCATGGATTTTCTATCCGGCCTTAATGCAAAAATAAACTTTGCCGACTCCATATTAGAAACACCAGAAACCGCCATCCCAATCCTCACAAGAGCAAACCCTGTAGATACATTACATACCCTACCACAAAATACCAAAATGCGACTACCGCTCCCAGTAAACTTAATGCAGAGAGACTTTATATATGAAACCACCAATTTGGATAATCAAATAGTCATAACAGGTGGCTTATACACCGCAATCGCAGGATCCGCCTATTTCGAAATCTGTAATAACTCAGACCAGACCCAAACACTTTATCTAGAAGAACCGTTACAGGCAGAAGAGTTCTCTCCACGAACCCACCAATACTTAAACTGCATGTCCGCGGCAACTAATACAGAATTACCGGACGATCAACAACTAGACATTCAGACGGAACACCTCAACAGCGAGGAAAAACAACATATTCTCAAACTATGCAAGTCATTCAAAAGACTTTTTCACAACGAAAACAATCAACTAACGTTCTCTAATGCCGTTAAACACTCTATACCCACGACAGATAATATACCGATTCACACAAAATCTTACCGTTACCCCTTTGTACATAAAGACGAAGTTCGAAAGCAAATTTCAAAAATGCTCGAACAGAACATCATAAAAAGCAGCCATTCCCCTTGGAGTGCACCCGTCTGGGTCGTACCTAAGAAAGAGGACATCACAGGCGAAAAAAGTGGCGTTTGGTAATCGATTTTCGAAAATTAAATGAAAAAACGATCTCTGATAGATACCCTATTCCGAACATTGCAGATATACTAGACAGCATAGGAAAGACCGTGTATTTCACAACAATAGACTTAGCAAGTGGCTTTCACCAAATTCAAATGAACCCACGTGACGCAAGCAAGACGGCATTCACCGTCGAAAATGGGCATTATGAGTTCACAAGGATGCCCTTCGGTCTCAAAAACGCCCCTGCCACGTTCCAACGCGTTATGGACAACGTCTTAGGTGATCTAGTCGGTAACGTCTGTCTCGTCTATCTCGACGACATAATAGTATTCTCATCCTCACTCCAAAAACATATAGCAGATATTAAATCCGTATTCATAAAACTCCAAAACGCATCTAAAAATCCAACCGAGCAAGTGTCACTTTTTAAGAAAGGAAATCGACTTCCTGGGACACATCGTCACCCAGGAAGGAGTCAAACCAAATCCACTTAAGAGTCAAACCATCAAGGACTTCCCCTGCCCAAAGACAATTAGGGAAATTAAGTCATTTTTGGGACTATTAGGGTATTACAGGAAATTTATTAAGGATTTCGCAAAAATAACTAAACCCATATCGAGACAGTTAAAAGGAAGGAAATCTTTAACAATAGATGAGGAGTTTAACCAAGCATTCGAAACGTCGAAAGATCTTCTTTGTAATGATCCCATACTCATATACCCTGATTTTAATAAATCGTTTACGTTGACCACAGACGCAAGTAACTATGCGATAGGCTCTGTGGTGTCACAAGGCTCAGACACTAATGACAGACCCATATCTTTCGCTAGCAGGACACTATCGGATACGGAAATCCGCTATTCTACGATAGAGAATAGGTCATTTCAGACCATACCTCTTCGGGCGTAGATTCAAAATAGTCACGGATCATAAGCCATTAACCTGGTTAGAAAATCTGAAAGGCCAGAATCCAAAACTACTTCGATGGAAAACTATCCTGTCCGCTTACGACTACGAAGTTGTATACAAAAAAGGGTCGCAAAACGTAGTCGCTGACGCACTCATCAAAATCGAGCCAAACGTGAACATAAACGAAGACCCACAAATTATACCAATCGCTTCACAACCACTAAATCACTTCAATAGTCAAATAGTATTCCGCACCGGATCAACAACGGCAAGAAAAATAGAAACACCATTTGCCCATAAAATAAGACACATAATCACAGAACCCGTGCACACTTTCGATTCCGTTACAAACGCCTTTCAAAAAATCCTGAAACCGAATAAAACATTCGCAATATTTGCACCAGACGATATTTTCAAAATAATAGAAGAATCCTATAATAACTATTTCTTTGAAAACGACTTATACAAAATTTCCCGCTGCAAAATACGGCTAACCGAAATCACTAATCCCCATGACCAGGAAAACACCTTCCCCATCACCTTAACACCAATCATAGGGGGATAGACGAAACTTATAACCATTTAAAAAGAGACATTTATTTTCCGCATTTAAAAGACATTATCACAAAAATTATAAAAAATTGCGATACTTGCCTAATCCTCAAGTACGATAGACATCCTCATAAACCACTGCTGCAAACCCCAACCGCACAAGAGGGACCATTGGCGGTCGTGCATATAGACATATACTTCATTAACAATGCTTGTAACCTCACCATTATAGACAAATTTTCTAAACTAGCGCAAGCCTACCCCATTAGCAATAGGAATTCAATAAAAGTCGCTGATGCCCTATTACAATTTATAAGGAAGCACGCCTAGAATGCGGCCATGACCAAATACTCGCAGAAGCTGTTGCAACATATAACAATGCAATACACTCCAGCACTTCCTATACCCCTTTCGAGAACTTTCACGGAAGAACTCACATATTCAACAAAACTATAACATTCGACAATCACCACGACTATCTAAAGAAATTAAACGAATTTAGGAAAGACATATACCCAAAAGTGCAGGAACATTTATACTCAACCACAGAAAAAAAGATTGGCTAAATTAAACGAGGACAGAGAGACACCAGTCCAAGTCGAGCCTAATGATATGGTATTTAGAAAAGAAAACCGTAGGAACAAGATAACTCCGAGATTTTCTCTACACAAAGTAGGTAGAGACACAGGCGTCACCTTCCTAACAACTAAAGGTCAAAAGCTACATAAACAAAAAATTAGAAAAACAGTTAAGAAATTTACACACACCGAAGCACCAGCTTAAACAACAAATACTAACACTGACACATAACTCTCAACGTACTTCGACCCGTAGTTACAGAATCCTTCTAATAACCACCCAGCTCTTAAAGTATCATTAGTAGTCCTACGAAACAATTCAATCAGGTAGAAACTAAAATAGATACATTCTTGCCGCACAATAGAAGTAAGGTCTTATTAATGGTCTGGAGACCATACTCAAATCTACCCCAGAAACCTACATAGATGATAGCGACGGACAAAACATTAGTGGAACTAAAAAATATCCTAACCAATATCAAAGATGTGACAAAAACACAAGGTAGACAAAAGCCACATTAACAAGAATTAATCTACAAAATTGT